TCCAAGTAGAGGAACTTTGCAGGTAGGACGTGCAGTTCGCACCTTTAAATGCAACATACTGGACACAGTACCGTGAGCAGTGCCGCTGTTGTAGCATGAATGGCACGATATTTTTTAGGATAAAGAGGTGTGGCGGTCAACCAGCAGCGTTGTAGTGTTGCGATGGTGAAGCAGTATGGAGGAAGGATGCCGGGCGGGGGGGAGGGGGGGGAGAGAGAGAGAGAGGGAGGGAGGGAGGGAGGGAGGGAGAGAGGTGGGAGGGAGGGAGGGAAGTGGGAGGGAGGGAGAGAAGTGGGAGGGAGGGAGAGAAGTGGGAGGGAGGGAGGGAGAGAAGTGGGAGGGAGGCGGGGGAGGGATAGAGAGAGAAACACACACATGACACAAATAACACACACAATACACAGGACACATAGAACATTGAGAACACACAGAACAGATAGAACGCAGAGAACATACAAGACACACATAACACACAGGACACTCAGAACACACAGGACACTCAGAACACACAGAACACAGGAAAGTGAGTAAATTCCCACTTTGGTGTGAACATTGTGGACTATGAAGGAGGGGAGATGGGAGACAGAGTGTAAAGGACGATGGTTACTGAGGGGGTGGGGGTGAGGAGGAGAGGGAGAAGGTGGATGGAGGGGGGGTAAGGGTGCTGGAGGAGTTTTTATTATTATTATTATTTTCTACTACAGACGTGGCCACACATTTACAATGCTAAACAGCAAATATACATGCTGGAGAGAGAGAGAGAGAGAGAGAGGAGAGAGAGAGAGAGAGAGAGAGAGAGGAGGAGAGAGAGAGAGAGAGAGAGAGAGAGGAGAGAGAGAGAGAGGAGAGAGAGAGAGAGAGGAGAGAGAGAGAGAGAGAGGGAGTAGAGAGAGAGGAGAGAGTGAGAGAGAGAGAGAGAGAGAGAGAGAGAGGAGAGAGAGAAGAGAGAGAGAGAGAGGAGAGAGAGAGAGAGAGAGAGAGAGCAGAGGAGAGGAGAGAGAGAGAGGGGAGGGAGGGATGGGGAGGACGAGAGAGGAGAGATGGAGGAGAGAGAGAGAGGGGAGGAGAGAGAGAGTGAGGAGAGAGAGACTATATGCCTGACTACTACCGTTTTCAACAGCTTTCTTGACCACCTTGATGGAAGAAAAAGTACTCTGCGTTACCACTTTACTAGACACGAGTGTCTGCCTGCCTGAAGTGAGTACGCCCTTTACCACCTTCTGGTCACCCTCCAGTACATCACGGTGGTCCCGTCTCCATGTTTCTGACTGTCATTCGGCCCAACAGTTGTTGTCGTTGTCGTGCCAAATAAACGACTATGGTTAGGCCGATCTGGATAATAGTCCTTAGTTCTTGTATATTCTTTCACCTGACTTTTGACTGATGTCAAACCGTCTGGAAAAACGCTCGCAGATGAACGCGCATTTTAGCCAAGACATGGGCGTGAATTTGAAGATCTACAATAAACCAAATTGCTTGAGAGCTCAAGACGAGTTATCGGAGCCGTATTTTGTACTTCAAATGTTAAATCCCCAGTATGAGGCACTTTCGCCGCTTGCAGTTTGACTCGCTTAGAAGGAAAAAATAAACATTATTATGCGTTGTTAAGGCACTATTTTCCATTGAGACAATCTATGTTTGCCTGTTTGGTATTTTATGGACGATGGTCGGTCAATCCTGAATGTATTACTATTGCCTATGACCTCTCGAATGATACAACCTCATTTTAACGTCAAAATCCCCAATTGGCTAAATAAAGTGTACTATAAATCATAGCAGCTCACAAACATTGACTTTTTAATGCCTGAATCGTTCGGTTAGTAAACGTTAGCATAGGTTTTGGTGTTTTAGTACACGATTTTCCGCCCCTTGTGGCAACAGGAGAGGACAAGCTGCCGGGAGAGACCCCCAGGTGGGTGTTGAACAAGAGTTTGTCTCTCCGATCCTCAAGCCTTCAGGAGCTGCTCCTTGCGTGCCACTTCTTCACCAGAGAGATCCTAGTCAGCTTTTATATTCTAAACTCCATCTAAATAACTCAAAATGTATTTATGCAATGCAAAATGTTGCATTAAAAAAATTGAACATGGAAGAAAAGTTATTTTATTCCAAGTTGTCAGATTTTTTCTTTAACATGGGAATATTTACTACTACTAATAATTAATAATTTATTGTATCAGGGGACAGGCAGTCAGTGTATGTATAAATATACATGTTAGGCATACATCGAGGTCTGGCCGTACAAGGATGAATTACTGACCTCGCCAGGATGTGGCCCAGAACAAGCTGTCTAACCCCTGGGCACCAGGCCAGGCGATAGCTAATAGGAAATGTGCCGAACTACTACTGTCCCGCCCGAGATTCGAACCCAAAATTCCCGATTGTGAGTTGAGAAATAACATGACTATCCAACTGGGACTGAATGCCCTAAATTCCGTGGATAATCCTATAAAATTCCAGCTTACCTGTCTGATTTTATGCCTCAATGTCTTGTGATTAGTCTTTTTTTCTTCCCTTGATCATAACTTATCCCTCGAGTTCCTTGTATCTTCAGCCCCTTGTGTGTACTCTCTGCCCCAACGTCTCATTCACAAGATCACATTCTCTTTTTTTATTTAGCTTTCACCAGTGAAGGGTTTGTAATGTGTACCTGGGGAGCTCCACTGTTAAGTTCTCCACTACTGAAACAACGCTTCACCACCATGTTTCCTCCCGCAGGGAGGTGGAGTGTACTCTAGTGGGGTACACACCACCAGTAGGGTACACACCACCAGTGGGGTACACACCACCAGTGGGGTACACACCACCAGTGGGGTACACACCACCAGTGGGGTACACACCACCAGTGGGGTACACACCACCAGTGGGGTACACACCACCTGTGGGGTACACACCACCAGTGGGGTACACTCCACCAGTGGGGTACACACCACCAGTGGGGTACACACCACCAGTGGGGTACACATCACCAGTGGGGTACACTCCACCAGTGGGGTACACACCACCAGTGGGGTTCACTCCACCAGTGGGGTACACTCCACCAGTGGGGTACACACCACTAGTGGTGTACACACCACCAGAGGGGTACACACCACCAGAGGGGTACACACCACCAGTGGGGTACACTCCACCAGTGGGGTACACTCCACCAGTGGGGTACACTCCACCAGTGGGGTACACTCCACCAGTGGGGTACACTCCACCAGTGGGGTACACTCCACCAGTGGGGTACACTCCACCAGTGGGGTACACTCCACCAGTGGGGTACACTCCACCAGTGGGGTACACTCCACCAGTGGGGTACACTCCACCAGTGGGGTACACTCCACCAGTGGGGTACACACCACCAGTGGGGTACACACCACCAGAGGGGTACACACCACCAGTGGGGTACACTCCACCAGTGGGGTACACACCACCAGTGGGGTACACACCACCAGTGGGGTACACTCCACCAGTGGGGTACACTCCACCAGTGGGGTACACTCCACCAGTGGGGTACACACCACCAGTGGGGTACACTCCACCAGTGGGGTACACACCACCAGAGGGGTACACACCACCAGTGAGGTACACTCCACCAGTGGGGTACACTCCACCAGTGGGGTACACTCCATCAGTGGGGTACACTCCACCAGTGAGGTACACTCCACCAGTGGGGTACACACCACCAGAGGGGTACACTCCACCAGTGGGGTACACTCCACCAGTGGGGTACACTCCATCAGTGGGGTACACTCCATCAGTGGGGTACACACAACCAGTGGGGTACACTCCACCAGTGGGGTACACACCACCAGAGGGGTACACACCACCAGTGGGGTACACTCCACCAGTGAGGTACACACCACCAGAGGGGTACACTCCACCAGTGGGGTACACTCCACCAGTGGGGTACACTCCATCAGTGGGGTACACACCACCAGTGGGGTACACTCCACCAGTGGGGTACACTCCATCAGTGGGGGAAAATCCACCACTGGGGTACACTCCAACAGTGGGGTACACTCCACCAGCAACACATCACTAGCAGGATACACTTCACGCAACACCCAGACACAACACACCCCAACACCCTGGCCTCCTGAGATTCACAAAGTGTTCCCCGGAACTAAATAACACCTCAGTTTCTCGGTACTTTACCTTAGGTATGAAATTATTACAGTCCGCTCCGCGAAGTCCTTCCCCCTCCTCCTCCTCCTCCTATTCTTCCTGGGACTCCTCTACCATTACCTCTCTTTACCTTTCATTCCCTCCCCCTTCCTCATCTTCTTCCTAGATATCAACCGCCACCATCTCCTCCTTTTCTTACGAAATTCTCCTTCTCCACCTCTTCTTTTTCTTCCCTTTTCCTACGATTTTTAGCCCTTTAAAACAGGCATCATATTTTAGGAAAGAAAAAATGGACAAATTGTTTCTGTGGAGTTTTAAAGTGGGAGCATTGTTTCCGATGTCCATGAACGGTGAATATTATTTCTCGTGTTTTGGAGAGTGATCATTGTATTCTTTCTCTCTTACTCAGATATTCTTTCTTTTCAACCGAACTTTCTGTTAGATTATCTTAGATGCTATACCTATCCAGCGTTATCATTCATTCAAGGATCAGTATGAGATTACATCCATAGGAAACTAGCTCCGACTTCTTTATTATTTTTTTATTTGCTATATCTTTACCAAGTTTAAGATGGAAGCTTAAGGAGCAGTTGCGTCTTGAGAAGTGGAGTGCAATACAGTATGTGTCACTCGCAAGTGTCAGTATTTGATACACTTACACCCTTAAGTGCAGGAAGTAAAGCCAATAATGAGTCTGAAGTGTTGGAGGCCCAAGTTATTTATACGGACTTTACACTCATAATAGAAGTCGTCTCTCGGAACCACGACAACTGTTCTTGCGGAAGCGCCAGTGGAGTGGGGAAAGGAATCACTGTTGTGAACAGTTTATAAAGAGAGGGAGCAACAGTCCACCTTTGAGGCATTGTTCTTTGCTTACAGTTGGAGTCAGAATGACTCTTAAAGTATCTTCTTATGTGAGAAGAAAGGTCATGTGATTCGGAATTTTGTATTTTGCCTATCTGGTTAAATATTTCGAGTCATTCATATCATTCCTTTGAGTTCTGAAGATCATCACTAATACCTAGGCAAAGATCATTATCTTCTTTACTAACAAAACATTTTCTATTATCTAATAAATAATTTTGTCATTCATTACTTAACAATATTCTAGAGTAAAGTCACAACAAAATCCGATAAATGCATTGAGACAGTGCAAGCCAAAGACAGACACAGGGACTTAGACAAAGACACATACAGGGAAAATGACAGACACAGGGACGTGAACAAAAATACGTACAGGGACAAGGACAGACACAGGGACAAGGACAGACACAGGGACAAGGACAGACACAGGGACAAGGACAGACACAGGGACAAGGACAGACACAGGGACAAGGACAAACACAGGGACAAGGACAGACACAGGGACAAGGACAGACACAGGGACAAGGACAGACACAGGGACAAGGACAGACACAGGGACAAGGACAGACACAGGGACAAGGACAGACACAGGGACAAGGACAGACACAGGGACAAGGACAAACACAGGGACAAGGACAGACACAGGGACAAGGACAGACACAGGGACAAGGACAGACACAGGGACAAGGACAGACACAGGGACAAGGACAGACACAGGGACAAGGACAAACACAGGGACAAGGACAGACACATGGACGTAAAGGAAGACACCGGGACGTGAAGAAAGACACATATAAGGACAAAGACAGACACATGGCCGTGAACACATACAGGGACAAAGACAGAGAGAAACAGAATGGGGCACAAATACTGAAACAGAGTCCGGGACAGATGGCGCCAGGTGAGTGGCTGGACTCATCCTCCGAGCGACACAGATAATCGTCTAATAAGTCAGTGTTGTGTAGGATAGTGACACTCGGGTTATATTGAAGGTATCATACTGGGCCAGCTCGTATTTACTATTTCAGGCTCGAGCTGTTAGCTCCTGGACCCCGCCTTATAGTGTACTGACTCCCAACCTATTTTATTCAAGCCTTACACTCTTACCGTTTATTTTTTCCGTAGTTTTCATTATCACTATATATTCAACGACTAAAACATAGTGGTTACTGGCTCCTAATGGTATTTCATGGTCAATGTTCTCAATGTCCATCTCGTTCTATGTAAATTCCAGGTCTAGTCTAGCTAGTTGATCACCACCTGATCTCCATGTTTCCTCTATGAAATGTTGAATAAGGAAGTACCTCTCTATAACTTTAGATGATAAACTAACTTTAGAAGATATAACTAACTCTCTATAACTTTAGAAGATTAGCCTATTTTCCTCCTCTTGGGTCAAACGTTTTCCAGTCAGTGTGGCCATTATTGAAGTTCCCCATTATTAGAATCTCTGCTTGTAGTCCGTGAGATGAGTCTGCCATCCTTTGGAAGATATTTATACATGCTATGTTTGAAGTTTCATTCAATTACCTTTTATTGTTCTCTGGTGGTCTGGTTGGTGGATCAGAGCCACAACTACTTTCTCATTGACTAGTGAAATGATTTCCATATTGCAGTCCTTGTAGCTGTTTGCCCTAAGGAAATTCCCTCAAAATTACAGTTTTCGTTGGCTCGTAGCAACAAACTTCCTCCCTGTTGAAGTCTTTCACTTTGAATTTCCTGATAATCACCTGGAAATAGTAGTCATAATCATGCCATGTATTATATCGCAACTATTGCTATTCCATCAGAGATTGTGTCTTCAATACTTTCATTGAATTAATTCATCAGCTCTATTTGACAGTCCATCAGGATTGGTGTACCAGAGATTCAGAGATATCATTCTTTCCTGTATACTGGGTGTGTTGTTTACAGTCTAGAAATGAGGTTTATAATAGAATTAGTAAACTGTGAAGTCTACCAGTGTGTGTGGGTGGAACTGAGATGTAGGAGAGAGCTGGGGGGGGGGGAATAGATGACTGTGTAGCAGTGTGGAGAAGAGGCCGTGTTGGAGTTCAAGTTACGGGGCTTGGGGGCTGGAAGATAGAGGTGGTGGTATTGAGTTCTGAAGAGAAATGTGGGTTGAAGGAATATGGGGGACGATTGGGGGGGCAGAATGACGGTGTATAGGTTGTTGATAGTCAGTCGGTGACAATTCATGGAAGAGGGAAATTGGTGCAATTAGGATCGAAGGTTGTTGGATTTCTGGCATGTTTGGTTCGGGAGGAATATGTTGTGGTGATTTCGTTCTTCCTTCAGGGCCAGTGAAGCTTTGCCTGCTTGGTCCTGTTGTTGACATTCGTTCGTCATTGTTAAGTATCACTGTGTTCATAAGTGTGTGTGTGTGTGTGTGTGTGTGTGTGTGTGTGTGTGTGTGTGTGTGTGTGTGTGTGTGTGTACTCACCTGGTTGTGCTTGCGGGGTTTGAGCTCTGGCTCTTTGGTCCCGCCTCTCAACTGTCAATCAACAGGTGTACAGGTTCTTGAGCCTATTGGGCTCTATCATATCTACACTTGAAACTGTGTATGGAGTCAGCTTCCACCACATCACTTCCTAATGCATTCCATTTGTCAACCACTCTGACACTAAAAAAGTTCTTTCTAATATCTCTGTGGCTCATTTGGGCACTCAGTTTCCACCTGTGTCCCCTAGTGCGTGTGCCCCTTGTGTTAAACAGCCTGTCTTTATCAACCCTGTCAATTCCCTTGAGGATCTTGAATGTGGTGATCATGTCCCCCCTAACTCTTCTGTCTTCCAACGAAGTGAGGTTTAATTCCCGTAGTCTCTCCTCGTAGCTCATACCTCTCAGCTCGAGTACTAGTCTGGTGGCAAACCTTTGAACCTTTTCCATTTTATTCTTATGCTTGACTAGATATGGACTCCATGCTGGTGCCGCATACTCCAGGATTGGTCTGACATATGTGGTATATAATGTTCTGAAGGATTCCTTACACAAGTTTCTAAAGGCCGTTCTTATGTTAGCCAACCTGGCATATGCTGCTGCTGTTATCCTCTTGATATGAGCATCAGGGGACAGGTATGGCGTGATATCAACCCCCAGGTCTTTCTCTCTCTCGGACTCTTGAAGTATTTCATCTCCCAAGTGATACCTTGTATCTGGTCTCCTGCTTCCTACCCCTATCTTCATTACATTACATTTGCTTGGATTAAACTCTAACAGCCATTTGTTCGACCATTCCTGCAGCTTGTCCAGGTCTTCTTGAAGCCTCAAGCTGTCCTCCTCTGTGTTAATCCTTCTCATAATTTTGGCGTCGTCAGCAAACATTGAGAGGAATGAGTCTATACCCTCTGGGAGATCATTTACGTATATCAGAAACAGGATAGGTCCAAGTACAGAGCCCTGTGGGACTCCACTGGTGACTTCACGCCAGTCTGAGGTCTCACCCCTCACTGTAACTCTCTGCTTCCTATTGTTTAGGTACTCCCTTATCCACTGGAGCGCCCTACCAGTTACTCCTGCCTGTTTCTCTAGCTTATGCATCAACCTTTTATGGGGTACTGTGTCAAAGGCTTTCCGACAGTCCAAAAAAATGCAGTCCGCCCACCCTTCTCTTTCTTGTTTAATCTTTGTCACTGTGTGTGTGTGTGCGTGTGTGCGTGTGTGTGTGTGTATGTGTGTGTGCGTGTGTGTGTGTGTGTGTGTGTGTGTGTGTGTGTGTGTGTGTGTGTGTGTGTGTGTGTGTGTGTGTGTGTGTGTGTGTGTGTGTGTGTGTGTGTGTGTGTGTGTGTGTGTACTCACCTATATGTACTCACCTATATGTGCTTGCAGGATCGAGCATTGACTCTTGGATCCCGCCTTTCGAGCATCGGTTGTTTACAGCAATGACTCCTGTCCCATTTCCCTATCATACCTGGTTTTAAAATTATGAATAGTATTTGCTTCCACAACCTGTTCCTGAAGTGCATTCCATTTCCCCACTACTCTCACGCTAAAAGAAAACTTCCTTACATCTCTGTGACTCATCTGAGTTTCAAGCTTCCATCCATGTCCTCTCGTTCTGTTACTATTCCGTGTGAACATTTCGTCTATGTCCACTCTGTCAATTCCTCTGAGTATCTTATACGTTCCTATCATGTCCCCCCTCTCCCTTCTTCTTTCTAGTGTCGTAAGGCACAGTTCCCTCAGGCGCTCTTCATACCCCATCCCTCGTAGCTCTGGGACGAGTCTCGTTGCAAACCTCTGAACCTTTTCCAGTTTCATTATATGCTTCTTCAGATGGGGACTCCATGATGAGGCGGCATACTCTAAGACTGGCCTTACGTAGGCAGTGTAAAGCGCCCTAAATGCCTCCTTACTTAGGTTTCTGAATGATGTTCTAACTTTTGCCAGTGTAGAGTACGCTGCTGTCGTTATCCTATTAATATGTGCCTCAGGAGATAGATTAGGTGTTACGTCCACCCCCAGGTCTCTTTCACGCGTCGTTACAGGTAGGCTGTTCCCCTTCATTGTGTACTGTCCCTTTGGTCTCCTATCTCCTAGTCCCATTTCCATAACTTTACATTTGCTCGTGTTGAATTCTAGTAGCCATTTCTCTGACCATCTCTGCAATCTGTTCAGGTCCTCTTGGAGGATCCTGCAATCCTCATCTGTCACAACTCTTCTCATCAACTTTGCATCATCCGCAAACATCGACATGTAGGACTCTACGCCTGTAACATGTCGTTAACATATACAAGAAATAGAATTGGTCCCAGCACCGATCCTTGTGGTACTCCACTTGTTACTGTTCGCCAGTCCGACTTCTCGCCCCTTACCGTAACTCTTTGGCTCCTTCCTGTTAGGTAGTTCCTTATCCATTCTAGGACCTTTCCCCCCACCCCCGCCTGCCTCTCGAGCTTGAACAGCAGTCTCATGTGCGGTACTGTATCAAAGGCTTTTTGGCAGTCCAGAAATATGCAGTCTGCCCAACCATCTCTGTCCTGTCTTATCCTCGTTATTTTATCATAGAATTCCAGAAGGTTTGTTAGGCACGATTTCCCTGTCCAGAACCCATGTTGATGTTTGTTCACAAACCTAATGTTCTCCAGGTGTGCAACCAGTCGTAGCCTAATTATTCTTTCCAGTATTTTACAGGGGATGCTTGTCAGTGATACAGGTCTGTAGTTAAGTGCCTCCTCCCTATCTCCTTTCTTGAAGATCGGCACGACATTTGCCTTCTTCCAGCAACTGGGCAATTCTCCTGACATAAGTGACTCATTAAAGATCATTGCCAGAGGCACGCTGAGGGCCTGTGCTGCTTCTTTTAGTATCCACGGTGATACTTTGTCTGGTCCAACTGCTTTAGTTGCATCTAGAGTTGTCAACTGTTTCATTACCTCCTCTGCTGTCACCTCTATATCTGATAGTCTTTCATCTAGGGTAACCCTTCCAACAATGGGAGCTGCTCAGGCTCGGTAGTGAACACTCCATGGAAACTGGCATTCAGTGCCTCGCAGATTTCCTTGTCACTTTCAGTATATGCCCCCTCTGTCTTCCTTAGTCTTGTCACTTGGTCGTTCACCGACATTTTTCTTCTTATATGACTGTGTAGTAACTTAGGTTGTTTTTTTCGCTTTGATTGCAATATCGTTCTCATAGTCCCTTTCCGATGTTCGTCTTATGTTAATGTAATCGTTCCTAGCTCTGTTGTATCTATCTGTGTGTGTGTGTGTGTGTGTGTGTGTGTGTGTGTGTGTGTGTGTGTGTGTGCGTGCGTGCGTGCGTTTGTGTGCGTGTGTGTGTGTGTGAGTGTGTGTGTGTGTGTGTGTGTGTGTGTGTGTGTGTGTGTGTGTGTGTGTGTGTGTGTGTACTCACCTAATTGTGCTTGCGGGGGTTGAGCTCTGGCTCTTTGGTCCCGCCTCT